AAGCCAAACGGCATCAAAATTACCCATCTCCATTGAACTTGTCTTTGGAAAGAGATATTGGCTGACCCTCATTCATGGAAGTCAGAACCCACTCAATGAAAGCAGGTTCTGCATCCTTGGAATCTCTTCCAGCAGTGGCAGCAGAGCTGCAGGCAACTCACCGAAGCAGCGCTGCGCTGTGTCCCCAGGTCTGACTGCTGCACTTGTGCTGTTCCTGCTCTCCTCCTGCACTGCAGTGCTGGGGCTGGAACCGCTGTGCAGCTCAGCAGCGCCTTTATAGGCAGCGTCAGGGGGAGGGCAGTGCTGGGATCACAGATAGCACTGCTGCACAAACAGCCCCGTGCAAAGAGCTGCAGGAGCTCCTGTGCTGAGCCGCTGCTGGCCGAGTGCAGAAACCGCGCAGCCATCAGCAAACGGAGCCGGGGGGCAAAGATCTGCTTTGTGTGAGGAGGTGGGGCTCAGGGTGAGTGGGGACTTCTGCCCATCGCTGTCCTTCCGTGCAGGGCTGCGTGGGGCTGCGATGTGGGCACAGCAAAGTGTGCAGAGAGAGCTTCTGTCCCTGGGAACGATGTGGAAGGGATCGGGAGCGCAGAGAGCACTGGGTCCAGCTCTGGGCCCCCAGCACAGGGCAGCCTGGGACACAGTGGGGAGAGCGCAGCATGGGGCCACCGAGCTGCTGCAGTGTCTGGGGCGGCTCTGCTGGAGGGACTGAGGTGATGGGTCTTCCTCTGCTCCCGATTTGGAGAAAGACATTTATTAAAGTGGAAGGGCCCTATTGATTAGCACCCGGCCTTGTCGCTGCTCCAGCCGCCAATACTTTGGAATTTTCTGGAAAGTAACCAGAAAACCTGCTGGAGGAGGCAGGCAGCTCTGTGTTCACACATTCACTTCCACTATTCACTATTCACAGCGCCTGGCAGCACAGCCCTCCGGCCAGATACTCCCGAGCCCCCCCGTGCATCCCCACAGTGCAACTGCACCTTGAGAGGGTGGGGAAGAATCAGACACCGGGGCAGCACTGCCCAGACACAGTGCGTGATAAAACTTAGGAGCATGGAAAGGTTTGGGATGGAAGGGAGCTGAAAGCCTGGTGGTGGGAGGCCCAGCCTGAGGGCACAGGGCTTTGGCACGGCTTCTCACCAAGCTCTGATGGCCATGGGACACCGCGCAGCCGGGGGACACGGCGTCGGGCGGTGAGCAACGCGTACGGCATTTGGAGAGCACGACAAAGGTGTGGAGCTGCAGCGGAGCTCACACGTGCCTGCGCTGGTGCAGCTGCAGCGATTTGCTCGCGCGTCCCTTCGCTGGGGCGGCAGCACACCCTGCCGGCAGATCCGCTCCCCGCGTTCGGTTTCGCTTTTTATTCTTTTCCAGCTCGGAAAAAAGACAGTGAGTGGGGCGTTAAGGGCGCGCGGTCCCCGAGGTTTACCCAGTCCCCGAGGCTCCGGGGGGCTCCCATACACCGCAGCCCCCTGAGCGCGGCCCCTCTCCGCGGGCAGCTCGGGCGTACGGAGGGTCTCTTCCCCCCGGGGGGGTGGGACGCGCCGCGGGGTCCCCATCCCCGCAAGTGGTGAAGGTCGGGTTGGACGTGGCGTCGGGCTGTGGGAAGGAGATGAACGCTCGGAGGGCCCTGCGCCCGCCGCTCGGTGACGTTATGGCACACACCGCTCAGAGCGCCGCGCGCTGCCCACCGGAGGGCATCGTCCCTCGGCTGCGCTCCACGCGCACCCACCGCCGCAGCGCGGCTCCTTCCCGCCGCTCCCGCACCCCGTTCGGTCCGTGCTCTGCCCCTACTCGCACTCGGAGAGTGGCAGCTGCGTCTGCGTGCGGGCCACGAGCAGCGGGTGTGCGGGGACGAAGGGTCGGAAGGATTCCCCGTCCCGATAACAGGGCAGGACCCTCTGCCCAGAGTGCGCGCCCTGGTGCCCGCTCAGCTCCTTCCTGTGCCTGAAGACCTGGCCGCACTCCGTGCAGGGGTAGACGCGCTGCACCGTGTGCGTCAGGCGGTGCGTCCGCAGGTTGCCTTTGTACTTGAAGCTCTTCCCACAGTCGGTGCAGGCGAAGGGCCGCTCCCCCGTGTGGATGCGCGTGTGCTTCATCAGCGTCGTCTTCAGGTTGAAGCTCTTCCCGCACTCGGCGCAGACGAAGGGCCGCTCGCCGGTGTGGATGCGCTGGTGGGTGACGAGCGTGCCCTTGCGGTTGAAGCTCTTCCCGCACTCGCTGCAGGCGAAGGGCTTCTCGCCGGTGTGGATGCGCCGGTGTTTGATCAGCTCCCCGTTGTGGCTGAAGCTCTTCCCGCAGTCGGCGCAGGCGAAGGGCCGCTCGCCGGTGTGGATGCGGTGGTGCCGCGTCAGGTCGCCGTTGCGGCTGAAGCTCTTCCCGCACTGGGAGCAGCCGAAGGGCCGCTCTCCCACGTGGATCTTCTGGTGCAGGATGAAGGTTTTCTTGGCGCAGAAGCCCTTCCCACACTCGGCGCAGACGAAGGGCCGCTCGCCGCGGTGGATCTTCTGGTGCGTGACGAAGTTGGCCTTGCGGTTGAAGCTCTTCCCGCAGTCGCCACAGGAGAAGGGCTTCTCCCCAGTGTGGATGCGTTGGTGCAGCACGAAGGTCTGCTTGGAGCAGAAGCTCTTCCCGCAGACAGTGCACTCGAAGGGCTTTTCGCCCGTGTGGGTGCGTTGGTGCCGCATCAGGTCGCCCTTCTGGCTGAAGCTCTTCCCGCAGACGCCGCACGCAAACGGCCTCTCCCCGGTGTGCACACGCAGGTGGGTGATGAGGTTCCCTCGGTGCTGGAAGCTCTTCCCACACTCACCGCAGCCGAAGGGACGTTCGGTGCCGCGGGGCCGCCGGGCCGGCTCGGTGCTGGGGGACGTGGTGGGTTGGTGCCCAGCGGTGCTCGCCGGTGGGACAGGCCGTGTGCCCGTGCCCACATGGATGATGCGGTGTCCAGGCACAGCCTGCAGGGCCCTCTCTGGTTCCACATCCTCCAGCTCCTCCTTGAGATGCTTCTCGCCATCTGCCAACAGAAGGGAACGCTGTGTGTCGTGGGTATGGCGTAGAGCCACCCTGGGCACTCAGCGGGATCCACAGTGCAAGGCAGCCCAACGCACCCGGACCCAGAGCCCCCCATCCCCACGCAGCCCCACATGGCACAGCTGCACTCACCCAGAGTGCCTTTGTCACCTGGGCCCTGGGGACACACGATGAACACTGCCTCCTCCGGCTCCACCTTCACGATGACCTCAGGCTTGGCATCGCCTGCATGGGCAGAGAATGCATCTGTGCCAGCTAGTGTGGGGCAGGCTGGGCCCTGTGTGACCCCCAGGACAGCGTCACCATCCCCAGGGTGCCCACAGGGCTGTGGGCACATGCAGGAACCCCATAACACAGCCCCAGCCACTGTGGGCACCCGGCCCTGCTCACCAGCAGTGGGATCAGGGGGGTCCTCCTCCTCCTGATAGCAGTGGTTGCTGTATGAGTCATCCTCAGGCTCCGCTTTGACCACTACCTCCATTTTTACTCCTGTGAAAGGAAAGATGCAGTGGAGCTCATACACGTCCCCATGGAACATCTCACAGTGCGTGGGATGGCACTTTGTCCCCAAGCAGCTGGCAGGGCTTGCCCAGCACCCAGCCCTGCCCAGCTGCCTGCTGTGGTCACTTACTGGTACTGGGAACACTGGGGACACTGGGGATGCTGGCCTGTGCCCCCAGGTCCTGCAGGCACCCAATGTAGGACTCATCCTCTGGCTCCATTTTCACCACAATCTCATGCTTCACACCAGCCCAGTTCTTTTCTGGGGAAGAGAAAGCCACTTTTGGGTTCCTTGTGAGATAACTATGCTGGACACTGGCAGATGAACCCCCACCCGAGGGTCCTGCAGCTCACCTGTGCCATGGGGACTGGTGATTCCCCTGTGCCTCCCATGCTGGGGGTCCTCCCCTGGCTCCATTGCAGAGTGGCAACAAGAAATCTCACCCAAGGAATCTTCTCCACCTGGGCCCTGGGAATGCCTGCAACAATAGCCCAGGCACAAGCAGCTGGGTGCTGGGCAGTGGGCACAACAGGGCTCTGGATATTTCAGGAATGGTCCTTCTGCTATGCTGATCACAATTCCCCTCTTTCCATCCCATCTCATCCAACCCCATCCTCATCTGAACCCATCCCCATCCCCATCCCCATC